ACCAGGGAGCATTTTTAAAAACTCATTCCTTTCATAAAGCAAGGACCACAGATCTCATACCTGTTCAGATCCACAAAATTAATACCATAAATAACTCTTAGGCAGTATAACATTACTGCTCTTTCCAAAGAGTTTTACAAGACCTGTAAGAGCAACTATATTTTAACACTAGAATATCAACTGTTGTTATTAATAGGTTTTAACTCATTAAAATTATTTTCCTCACTGGACACTTGCCATGCAGAAATTACATTTCTTTTGCTGCTTTTATTAAACTTTGATACACATTATTGTTGTGTTTTGGTTTTTTTTTTCTTTAATGAGATCTTAGCCGCTTTTTACAAGGACCCTGAATCAAAACAAACATTTAGCTTCTCTTCTTGAGCAATTTCATTTGCTTTTGTTCCCTGCTGTGCTGGAAACATGCTTTGTGCTTCTCAATCAGGTATCCCAACAGCTGATCAGGTAGCACAGCGTAATACAATAGTTACAGATTAGCTGCTCCCTGCTGCCATTCACTTCATGGTTTAAATCCAGTGTCATTTACAAATCAAGATGTTTATGCACTCAATTATAACATTCTAAGTGAGAATAAAGGGTGTTCCATTACTCCCAAAAGGACTATGGAGACATTTGTGTGTAAAATAGTGCGATACTCTAAATTCCCTCAGTTCCATGTTTCTCTGTGTCTCACTGCAGCAGAATATCTCACAGTGGTCTCACATTTATAAAGGGCTATGCATGCACACTAGATCAGAGCTCTGCAATTCACTGAGGGTCTTTGTCCAGGTTAAAAAAATTGCTAAAAGATTGCTGAAAAGAGTCCCTGGAATTTTTGGCACCTGCAGCCATCAACACAGCAAACTGCCTCCTTCTGCTTCGCCAAAGAGCCTTGGTCAAATGCCACACAGAAATATCCTGCTACTTAGCTCTGCCCAAAGGTGCGTTTCACCTGGGTGAAGGATCAAACAAAACAGATTGCAGAGGAAAATCAGTACAAACAACGTGAGTACAATGAGTACAGGGCTGAACTTTACCAAAGTACATGCGAAGGACAGATTATTACCATTATAAAACACATGCACGTGCGCGGGGAAAGGGCCTTAGATGTTTTCCCCGCAGTGGCCAGAGCATGAGCCATAATATCAGCCTGAGCCGTAATACCAGCCTATCTGTGTTGTTTTCCCTCAGACACAGCCTACCAGAAGTGCCGTGTCTGCTCCTTGTACAACGCACATTCTTGGGTGATGGAACAAGGGCACATTCTGGATTTTCATCCCCTAAAAAAAAGGAGTAATTAATCTTAATTCTCCACCTCTCCCTGAAAAATAGAACTTCCATAGCTCAGAGAAAACAAAGAGCTATCAGTTGTTCTGTGGCAAATTAATCTTAAAGAGGGAATCTTCCAAAGAAAATCAATAGTTCATAACAAGATTCTGTATTGTGTTTGAGCCCTGAAACAAACTAGAATCAAAGGCTGCTTTCAGCCTTGCAAGTCTGCTCTTCTTGTGCTTTGGTTTTAATATAATGTCATTGTTTGAAAAAGTGAGGTTTTCACGTATGAGCAGTTTTAGTTATGTGTGGCTTCACCTTGATAGAAGAGTCTAGTAATATTTAATACAGACTGTAAGATTACTGGTATTTCAGGCAACTCTAAAGACATTATTCTCAAAAGAAGGAATTTAATAGGTAATTATATTTTTTATCCTACATGTAATATTCTATATCCAAGACATCTTTATTCATCTGTACTTTTCTAAATTAGTCTGTTCCATATGAGAAACTTTGAAAATGATGTCTCCTTACATGGTCAATCTTTAAAAAAAAAAACAAAAAACCACCACAAAAAAAAACAAGAACCAAAAGAATTTAACCATGGTGCCATGGAAACAGCTTTAAAATTAATTTGAGTGCAGGGAGGAAGGCTGCAACTCTAACACAGAGAAAGTGACAAGTTTCAGAAGAAACCTGTCTTCATTCAGCACTCAGATCTTTGAGAAACAATAACGCATAGCAAGGCAAGGGGATCTTTTCAAACTATAGTGAAGCAAGATTTCTCAAGCACACTCTCCAGAACAGTTCATTCGCAAACTGAGATGTGATAAGGAGAGGCGGAATGGGGCAGAGGCATACAAACCTGCAGGAATGGGAAACCTGAAATGAAGACTGCTTGAAAGCACTGGTAAAGAATGCCAAAGTTCTCAGACAAGTACTTTTATTGTAAGACAGAGCAATACAGGGTGGAGAGATCATTTATAGATCAGCAAAGGAAATAAATGTTCTCATTTCTAATCAGTTCAAGTCTGTTAACTCATTCCCACAAGTACCTACTGACTGCCTGCAGTCCAGGTGAGTTTTGAACTGAGGGAAATGTGTCTCTTTCTGACATTACTGAGTGCTGAGGCTCGTAGCGTTCATTGCGACATCATGTGTTACACAAGACTAGAACTGCACTGGACGGCAGGCTCCTTGCAGTGAGTCTGGGTCAAATATCCCATATGTGCTCGTATATGCTTCAGGCGTTGTGTTTCCATAAGTTGCATCCATAAAAATGAGAGTTTGACGTTGACTCAGGGCTTCCGTGGGCGGAAGGAGAATTTGGTCCTCACTTTTACCCATTCCTCACTAGACACTTTGGTTTGTTGGATAAACTAAGTTAATCTAATTCATTGTTATTCTGGGACTTTGTACAGAAGGGATTCTAGTCTAAAGCAGATTTCATCATTTATTTCCTTCATAATTCACAAGTTGGTTGCCACAGTGAATAGTTGCACAGAAAAAGAAAAATATGTTACTAAGCCTAAAAATTTCAGTGCTTACAGTCCCCAGAACCATGGCGTTATCAAAATTCAGTAGTACCACAAAGTGATGACCAATGACCTTATAACTTCTACGTGCTGTAAATACTGTCATTAATTCTTTACAAAACATTTAGGAAACGTACTGCATTTATCCTGCTTCCTAGCTGTCGATTCAGTAGATGACTTCATTGGCTACTTTGACATTTTTACTTTTTCGTTCCAGTTTGGTTTGTTTGCTTGCCTTAAAAAATGCCTACTGTGTGAATTGTAAAAGGTCAACCAATAGTTCCCAACACAGACAGGACAAAAGTAACTGAAATTAACACACTATAGCAGTGATTTTGACTCTTACCTTACTTTTTTTTTTGGCCTGTGAACTATTAGCAGTAACTAGTAAAGCTATGTGCCGAAGATCTTCTAATCTTACTAATGCAAATAGTGATTTTGACTCTTACCTTACTTTTTTTTTGGCCTGTGAACCATTAGCAGTAACTAGTAAAGCTATGTGCCAAAGATCTTCTAATCTTACTAATGCAAACGTTCTCTTTCCTTTCAGAATTCCCACTACCCCTTTTTACATCAATGTCCAAGCACTAAAACAGCATCACTAAGGGATTTAGGGTGTGGTGGGAGAACAATGCTTGGTGGACTTTTAAATTAGAAAAGCTCATAAGATCTGATTCTGGGTAATTTACTTCTAAGAAGAATATATTCTGCGTCAGGGCAGAGTGTAGGAAATAGAACTGTCTAAACACTCCCGGAGTCTGGACACCTCATTTATTTCTCAGGCTATCGCAGACAGAGGTAATAGTGATGTAAGGTTACACGTAAATTGGGATCCTGTTATAATTCAGATCACTACTAGTACACACATTGGTGGATGTGGATATTTGGATGGCAAAGCAAGGCTTTGTATTTTGACTTGATTGTGCACTGCAGATTGTATAGGGAGGTCATTCTTGCAGAGAAATCCTTGCAATTGTATTTCACTACTGAAGCAGCAGACATTGGATTCATCCAAAAGACAAGGTCACCAATGCAGGCACTAAATGCCATTTCAGTGGTTTTTGGGGTGGGTGGGTGGTTTTTTTTCCTGATTATAAACATGGAAAGCACACTATGATGAAATTTCCTTACTGGCAGTATTAATCTTTCAACATCTGTATGGTTAAAAAGCCTACCAGATGTAGATCAAGCTAACGCTGATCTTGTTCACAGTGCTTAAGTCTAGAAATTTCTGTAGACAGCCTTTGCATTTATATCAGCACATAGAAGACACACCTGATTTTTAAATACAAACATCAGGCTGCTGCAATTCTGAAAATGCCAGTACAATGACCTTCCTTTTTTAATTGACATCTGAAAATTAAGAAATATATCTTTAGGCTGAATAAAGCTAACTAGCTTTTCAAATTCTTAGAAGTACTCAACTACCTCACAAGTTCATTAAAGTTGTTCATCTTTTGAGAAAAAAAAAGAAGAGGGAGGGGGAGGCTACAAATTGCAATATGAATGGTAACAGCATCCAGTGATCCCAGACAAATCAAATACCATGGTTCTGGGCAAGACATTCACATGTGCAGGGAGAGAGATGAGCCGTGACTTCATAATTTTAAATTTCTAGCAAATCATAAAAGTAAAAAGCAGAAGGAAAGCTGTAGGAGCCAAGGAGGACCTGGTTAACAATAATACAGTAAGTGCCTAACCGTAGGAGCTTTTGTAACAGAGTTTGTAAAATCTGGGGCCAATGATTATTAGTATTTTGAATTCTGCGAGTGCTGTTTTAAATGGTTCTAAACACATATCCCATATGTTTCTTCAAATATTTCAACCCTTGACTCCTCAGTGTTTGGCCTGAGGCTGAAAAGTACAGATTACTCGATGCCCATGGCAAGTGCTGTTGCAACAGGGAAATGATGTCAACCCCTGCAGTGCGATTCATAACTGGATGTGGGTAAATTCACTTACTGGCAATTTAGAAGGAAACATGCTGGTGCTGTGCCAGTTGGAGCCAGATGGTGACTGAAATTATTAAAATCATGTGTGCTGCAAATGTCTGAAAAATTGCACTGTTACAAAATATCCTAAACATAGACAGGATCCTAGAACAAACCAATTGGTGTACGGAGAGTATTTGCAAACAGTACATGGTATGATTTGCTGCTGTTTAGCTGTAATCTTTCTTTCCCTGTTTTCTAGGTTCAACTAATCCACTATAACCATGAGCTGTACACAAATATCACAGAAGCAGCAAAGAGTCCTAATGGGTTGGTGGTAGTCTCCATATTTATGAAAGTAAGTATTCACTTTTGTCAAGGAAATGGCCTCAAGTTGCACCAGGGGAGGTTTAGATTGGACATTAGGAAAAAATTTCTTCACTGAAAGGGTTCTCAAGCATTGGAACAGGCTGCTCAGGAAAGGGGTGGAGTCACCATCCCTGGAGGTGTTCAAACAACATGTTGATGTAGCACTTCTAGACATGGTTTAGTGGGCATGGTGGTACTGGGTCAACAGTTGGACTTGGTGATCTTAAAGGTCTGTTCTAACCTAATGATTCTATGATTCTATCAATACCTAATATATAGATAATGGACTACTTTTCCCCATGAGCTGTAAATCTAGGAATTAGACTCCTCATGATACTATAACAATGCCTAGAGGCTCTGATCTGGAATCTAGAGACAGCATCGTCCTAGGAATAGGACACACAATCTTTACTCCAAAGCAAATTTACAGTGTAACGTAAGGAAAATGAAAGGGGTAATAAAAAGGGACAAGGGAGGAGGAAAAATAATAATAATCCTTGTATCGTGAACATCACTTATACCCATTTAACAGGTGTGACAAAAGTTACTAAATTGGCAGATTTGGTATTTCTTCACGAAATGTTATTCGTTCAATTAGAAGTAAGTCTCTCCTAGTAGGTTGAGGCCCTGGTAAAGAGGGCACGTTTGCTCTCTGGAGACTTGCTGGTGTTTCAAAGTCAGCAAAATAGGTTTTTCTCACAATGTTGATTAAAACATCTTAAACTATCAAACTGAAAGAACTCTAAAAGCATAACTTTTATAATATCTCCCATTTCAGAGCTAGAACGACATGTGACTATTTTGCCATGTTTTAGTCTCTTCCTGTTGCATTCAAGATGCATAGTTAGGTCTATAAATTACAGTGATCTAGCCTTGAACTCAAGACTTAATAGTTTACTCAAACCTCCCTAAATACCTTGGAGAAACCTTTTCTCTCATTTTATCTGAAGAATGCATTTCCCCCAAAATTGTTTGTGTTCTGCCATTATGTGTCTCTGCTTCATCAGTCTATAAAAGCATCTATTTCTGAATAAGTGCTTCATGCTGAAATAAACAGCTTTCATCATTAGCCCTTACATACTGGATATCCATTAATTCCCTTTAGTACTCTCTAATCCCATTTCATAAGGTAAAGTTCCTGACAAAGCATGAATTAAAATACATATTTCACAGCACTTGTTGAATAATTAGGTATGAAAACTGCCCTTTTATACAGGTCTAATATTGAAGAAAGATGTTTACGCTACCTTTTTTTGTCCAAAATGTATTGTATGACGACCCAACGATCCGACTTGAATTTGCGCAAAAGAACAAACTTGAAGCAAGCCTTCACAACACCCAGCATGCCAGTTTTCTCTAAATAATGCATCACTCCTGTGCTTGCGGAGTTGCACACCTCTTGTAACGAGCAACAAATTTAGCCTCACCATATTTTTCTCTAGGCCTCTCTCACCGGTGTAAAAAGAGGTGTTCTGTTTTAAATGCCCAGAGCGGTTACAACATCTTCTAAGTGAAGAAGTAACAGTTTGAAATTCCACAAAATAGAACCTGAACTGAATTTTCCTGAAGGCTACCTCTCAAACAGAGCTGGATTACAGTTTGTCCAATAGCCGCTTTGTTTTCCTAAATCTTAATTAAACTTCTTGCAAAGTTTCCCATTTTCAAAATAAAAATATGTAATTCCGGATAAATGCTGGGTGTGTAACAGCAGCATCCAGTGTCTGATTTAAAAAAAAAAAAAAACAAAACACACAAACACAGAATGATCGAAAGATAAGTAGGATATTAGAAGGCTAGCTACGGAGTTACCGAAGTGTCTCCATTAAAAAAGTGACACTGATTTGGTAGCTAATCAATAATACTTTTGCGATTTGCAGGGCAATAAAATCTCTTGTTAAATTGATAATTATTTTATGATTATCCCCCTCCCCAGAAAAACCCAACACAACAACAATGCCTCCAAGCCCTCTATCGTTTTCCGCTAAATCCCCTCCAGGTCTGCTTATGTTCATGCAGACTGAACGTGTGATGTGCACGTATACAGGTACGAGAGATAGTTGTGAGTGCACGTGCATAAAGTTTAGGCATTTCATACCTGCGTGTAAAACAAAGGGGAGACAGATCTGCGATCTAAATAGACTGCTGCAAGGAAAGTACATTTCTTAATGAATAGAAAAATAATAGACTACCATATGAAAATCCTGCCTGATTATATCAACCGCCTGCAAATCCCATCAAAGCTGTTGGAGAAGAAACCTGTACTCACTCTTGTATTCAGACATTAATTTCTATTCGTCCTATTCTCCCATCCCTGTTCCTTTATTTATATTTAGAAACCAACTTTGTAACAAGTTTTGTTAGAAAAACATCTAAGTAGTTATTCCCTCTTCCCACTCTCACAAGTGAAAAAAAAAGGCAAAAACAATTTGGAGGAGTGGCAGGAGAGAGAGAACAAGTGTGTCTGTGCGGGCACACACAGAGCAGCTACATTTCCAGAAAGGAAACATTTGCGAGAAGATTTTGATGTTGTTCCTTTTCTCTTCTGTAGGTATCTGAATCATCAAATCCATTTCTAAATCGTATGCTTAACAGAGACACCATAACGAGAATAACGTATAAAAGTAAGTTTCTCCTCACGTACTCTAGCTAACAGCTGTACGCTTTTAGCATCAAATAACGTATTTCGGGATCTGCTGAAACAAGAGGCACTTCATTACGGGCAAAAATTACAAGGTTTGCATTGCCAGCAACTCTGCACGATGAACTTGGGAGCCTGAAAAATCTAGTAAGGTCATCAGTTCGTCAAATGAATTTTGAACTTCAAAGTCTATTTTATGTTTGAACAAGCAATAAATTAATGAAATTATACTTAACATACGTATACTGTATTCACACAGAATACTCAGGAGACACTGCCTACTGTAAGGAATAAAAGTAACACGCAGAGCAGCCGAGATTGTATCAAGTCAAGTTATATCAAGATGCTGCATCTTTAACTGTGGATTCAGTAGTCATTAATGCTTTCTTTTTGTACAGAAAAGTTACAATTTCTTTTTAAGTACTGCTACATTTAATGGATGCATAAAGAGGTCATTAACATAGCATACATATTCGTTGCATTCACATATGGGAAACCTTTAACTAATAATGCTCAATCATTCCGTGTTAGTATATTGAACTTGCGGAAAACTGGAGCTTAAGTGTCAGTGCAAATTAGGCTAATTTAGATAAAGTAATGAAAAATACATAGATCTCAATAGAACAAAATAAGCCTCTTCTCCTGAAAATGTTATTCTCTTTGTCAAGTATTCAGTTGAATTCCAAGCAGCCATTAAGTTAGTAAGTTAAACAATACCAGAATTTAACTTCCAGAAAGTACACAAACTGAAAAAATAAGGAAAGTATTGTAAAACTCAGCCTTCATTTGTTATCTGTAAACAGCAACTCAACATTTTTTTATAAGCTTCATTAATTTTGCTTTTGTTTGTGAAAGCTGGGAGAGAGTTGTTCATGGCAACTGGAATGAGACTGGTTGTCAAGGCTCCAGGATTTGGTTCACAATTGTACTAGAGTTTGCCTCAGTTTACCTCACTGTAAGTTAAATATATTGTACTATATGCTCTCCAACAACATAGTGTTACTTGGAAAACTTTGCATCTGAAACTCCAGAGATCTCAAATGTCCATTTAACTTCGACAAAAGTCGCTGAACTTCAGGTTTGTGAGGGAAAGGTTTGGAGAGGTTGCTGTACGCGTCCCTAAAGCACACAGTCTGATTTCTTCCCACAAATGCCATCTTTTGCCCCCCCCTGCAAAGCCAGGATTGTAAAAAGAAAAAGTGTAGCTTTGAGATCAATGTAAAGTGAAAGCACAGAACGTCACCCTCTAATTCCTGAACAAGAGAGCACTAGAAAATTTTGACTCTTGCCGTACAATGCAGGATTTGAGCAGAGCCAGTCCGACCCCATTCTGATGTAGGTGGGTCCTGGTCCTCTGCTATGACACACACCTTTGCTCCCACTGATGTTTCTTTAATTTTACCTTACAGTTTACAAGTTCTTGTTACATCTCTGGTCCAAGAAGGCGGCCTCCTATGATAAAACTCTGATCTCCATGATACCTTAAGAAAGGCAGGTGGCAGAGGGCTCCCCTCAGAACATTTTTCCAGATTGTTCCATTAGTAGGAAATGTCTTCTCTGCATGGAAGCAGCAGGAGATTAGCCCAGTTTTTTAACTGCCTCTTGATTCCTTGCAAAAACACAGCAATACTGTTCTGTAAGAGCTTCCTGCCTGCCAGTGCTGCTGCAGCGTCCTGGAGAGGGGGAATTATCATTAAGGCTGTACGTGCAGGCTCCTTCACTCCCAAATTACGTATTCCTGGCTTCTGTCCAGGGACCAGCCAGAAGATCCCTCGTTGGACCATTGAAGAAGCTGCTTTTCCCCACAGACACACACACTGAATAAGACTGCCTCGTGTTTACCATCGCAGCAGCTGTATCTCATGCACTTACATGAGTGTCACAACCTTTTTGGTACCCCCTGGCCCCACATGCTACGACAGGTGGCCAGCAGAGCAAAGACTGGACAACCTGTGATGGCTCAGAGCAGATAAGAGGCCGCGATTAGGGATGTGCAGCTCCAGAGGGGCAGGAAGGCACTGGCAGTGTCTTTCCCTTGTTGCATGAGCGAGCGTGCAACCTTCGCCCACACCAGCAGGCAAGCCTACCTCTCCAGTACAAAATATTTCATTTGTACATGGCACTTATAAGTGGGCATTCCTTCTCTCTGGAGTTGACAGCATCCTGTGACCTTCTCATTGGTCGTCTTGCCTCCTCAGAAGGAAAACACAATTCCATCACACCTAATTTGGGTGTACTAAATGAAATTTCACATGAAGATGAACACATAACGTAGGCTGCAAAATCAGTGATCAACAGAACTATTTTAATTTTTACCCACTGTTATCACTAACAAGTTTATCTTAAAATGAAATCCGTGGTAGACACAATGCACGTAACATTCTGCAGGGCACTGGGTTACTTACTGTAGTAACAAGTATTGACTGGGAATTTTTTTAGTGTAAATTGGGAACGTGAAAGTGTTATTCGAAAGTAATTTTGCAGTTGTCTTGCATGATGGATTATAGCATCATTGCTGAAAACTAATTTTACCTCTTACATTGCAAGGATTTTATTCTGCCTTTAGCAGACAGAGTTTTTCAGCTTGTGCTTTAGGGGTCCACTCCTGAAGTCAATACTCAGCAGGCAGCTGACAAAGTGACCAGTCCCAGCGTGCTCAATAGGAGTGTGGAGGAAATGATAAGTAGAACACAGGCTCAGAGTCAGGACAGTTCGTAACATGACTAAAGGTCTTTTTTTTTTTTTAAAAAACAGCAACAAAATTAAGAGCTATCGATGCTGCTGCCTGAAACTTCCATGGGCAAAATGCGTTAAAAGGGGAATTTCAACTCTTAGATATTAACGGCTACACTAAAGCAAAGTGGACCCCAAAGAATTTTTAAGCAGATTTTTTTTTTAAGTGCTTATTTTATTCTGTTACCACAGCCCAGAGAATCTACTGTGAACTAGCTGAAACAAGTGTTCTTTCAAAGAGGCTTTAGTCAGAAGCTATGTGAATATCTCTAAAGAAAAACTGCTTTAATATTCCTCTTTAAGCATAGCAATAAGTTAGCTTTCTTTCAGGACAGTTATGCTACATTAGCTTTCACCCAGTGTTTACTTAACAAGTAGAAAGAAGTAACATTTTAGATTCCTAAAATACCATATGAAAATTTGGGCTTGTCATTCTCCACCAAAATACTGCCAGATGTTCAGCTAGGCAGAAGAGCTGTAAAATTCTGAATTTCCTCAAATTCAGTCTTTAGGTATTTTATAGATAATGCACAAGTGAATAAAGTATTCTGATCTCAAGATATTATCCTGAAAAAAGCTTAGGATTCAGATTTCTGGAAATAAGAAACTATTAATTCCTCAATGTTCATGTTTCAGTGTGTCCTCTGAAGGACTGAGCTCTTGCAGCTCCTGTCTTGAGCACTAAAAGCTCAGCAGTCTCAAACCAGGGCCCCAAGGGACTAACCTCAGGTATTCAAAATGAGCTTCTGTCAGCCTGGGTCTAAGTGACTTGCAAAGGCTGGTACATGGAGAATCTCTGTCTCAGGATTAAAAAGCTGAGGATCTCTACATTCCTTACGCTGTAAATCTAATCTAGTTCGAGCTGTGCTCTCCCTTTCTGGATTGCCATATCAACTTCAAAATCAAATGGGCCTTCCTTCATTCAGTAAACAATATATTCCCTATAAACACAGTACTGTTTTAAAGAGAACATACATAGAATTTGCTGTGAAAACAGACCTCACACACCTACTACAAATCTAGGGATAAAAGAAGAGGATTTCCATCATTTGCAAAGAAAATTGTCAGTCAAGGCCTTTATTTAAATGAATATGAAATCTAATTTGTATAGAGAAGAGTTCATGAGTTCAGAAACCACCCTAAGGCACAAGCAGATCAAGATAAACGGAATGTGGGTTGGAGGAAGGAATGATGCTGAGAATCTAGTAAAGGCTGAATGGGTTTACTAAAGGAAGACTGGCAAGAGATCACACACGCTGATTTTGACCACTTTGAGTGATGCACTTGCCATAAATGTAAAACACGAAATGTTGCAGTCTAGTATTAGTGCAAACCCACCGGTTCTTTTTCAGTTCCGGAATGGGAAACCTTCATCCAGATGTGGGGAAAGGGAAACAGCAGAGCTGTTCATGGGGAAAAACGTTGATAACCAGGTGCTTATTCTGTAGTCTTTTCTCAGGCCATTCTCATAGAGTCATCTGACTTATAAGGGGAATATAACCTGTACACAGGCATGAATAAATGCTGCTTTTACTTGGCCAAACTTGTTTCTTTCATTATTTAATTCACCCCTATCCTTCCCTTTTCCTAAAGGGTATATTTTCTTCCAGTTTCCCATTAATTATAACTAATGGACTTTGACACTTAGCATAATCCGCTGTTTCTCCTTAAACATATTCCTAGTGAAGACAGAGGCAATGAATCAGGTCTGGAGCCACTTTGCTGCTGGGTGCTGGCGGGGAGACAGCCATGCATTTTGTAGGTGCTCGGTATACAAGGTAACCCAAGCAGTTGATCCGAAGCTCAGTAAGGCTAAAGAGAGCATCTCTCCTGATGTTGAGAGCCCTGGCGTACGTCAGGCTTGCCTGAACAAGTAGGAGGACCATGCCCCGCGCTGCTCCCACACTGTTAGATGCAATATTCCACCCGTGGGGTGTTGTGATCTTCTGAGAATGACTAAACACTGTAAATCCACAGACGAAAGTTAGAAGCCCGTATCAAAATAATGAATTATGTTCTCTATTACAGCAATGTGAGGCAACTCCAAAACCCTATGATTATCTCCACTAATGCCAGCAGTAAATCTGTTTCTGTATCTTCCATTTGATAAGTAGTCCTATTGTTAATAGTCTGTGCACTGTTCCGAATACAAATTAGTGAATCAGAATGTTTCACACACAAAATATATACACGTCATCAATGTCTCATCTGTAGTAATCTTTAGTTAGCTTTCCATCTCCTAGTAAACATTTCAGGGCAATTTTTACTTTAAATTATTTTAGCCCAACCGAAGTCAATATAGATGTGAAAAAGCAGATTTGGTCCTTCGAATTTGAAACTATCTATTCTGACTGACTCCATGCCATTTGGAGCTAACACACCACTCTCCGTGGTTCATCAATAATGAACAGGCTGTTCGTGTGGGAGAGGGAAAAGTGTGTGATGACTCACTGAAAACAGGCACTGGCTTGAAAAAAAAAACCACCCCACATTCATTCTCTTCTCATGTAATTCTAGCAGAATTACTGCTGCACTGCAAATAATGTTTTTAATGAATAGGGCCACAGGTGTATCCAGCCATCGCTAGCTGTTAAAGTTTAACAGCCTTTTGACTTGAATACTATAGCGATGGTTTTACACTTTTGTCTGGAAAATCTTGGGTTTAGAAAGACTGTATCCCAGGCCACGGGCCAGTGAAGGCTGAGCGTGTTGAAAAAGGTGGCAAGTCAGCCACCTACAAGAGCGCTAGTAGTACTTTCCCCTCTACTTGAGGATCCAGCCGTAGGGCACGGCAGAAGGCTGTTTCTGACAAACTTGAAAGGACATGTCAAGGTTATATTTTGTAAATTAATAAACACATTCAAAATAAGAAGTAATTGTAAGGCACTGGTCAACGTGGTATAAACAGCTCTCACCTTGACGCTTTAACTGATGCTGTAGCCAATAATACTGCTACCCCAGAAGCCTGTAGCATGCTGATATGTCAAAATAAAAATAAGTCACATTTGCTTTGCCCATGTTCTTTGATTTTCTGTTGCCCAAGACAGTACTCTGCAGTCTTTTTTTTCCAGTAGATGGTATGAGACAAGTATTGTCCTTCTGCTATATGTTAAATTCAAGTTAAATTACTCTTTTCTTTTTTAGTTCTTATGCACTTCCTTGGCCATTCATCTTTCTTTCCTTGGTTCCATTTACAATCTTATCCCGATGCCAAGGAGCTGTTTATCAGCTTAAAAAAAAAAAACACCCACAAAAAACCACAAAAGCAAAACCTGTTTAAAGTTACAGTGAATGGTACATGAAAAAAAAATCAGAGAATCCAGCAGAAATGCCTAAATTATTGACATTGACTTAAAAGATGCACTTGCACCATTTTTCCACAGCCTGAGCAGTATCGTTTATTTTATTTGTACTATCTTCCTTGCCTTCCATTAGCCAGTTCGTCTTGTGTGTTGAAAGGGGAAACACGCCTCAACATGCAGCTTTCCTTGGCCGCATTTTAGCGCTCGCTCTGCAAGTGAACCGCATTGAACACGCTACATGCAAGCGAGAGCATGCAAAGAGATTTCCCATCACAGCCTGTGACCAGCCCAGCTTTCTCCGAGATACACGATAGCAGGAGCGTACAAGCGGTGGAGTTTGCATCTCCCCCAGTATTTCCCGTTAAGGAGCTCCTACAGCCTAAGATTTGGCAGGAGAATTTGAGCTCCAGTTTTGACAGCACTGCCAAAAGTATTGTAGGACCAGCATTACACAAGGGAAACAGGGCACATAGCGTAGAAAAGGCAGAGAAACCATGAATTTTAAAATATATAACCGTATCTCGTTATATTTTGGTACATGTCCACAGAGTGAATTCTGTCGCAGAGGGATACCTCATTAGTTCCCGGGGAGGCTTACAATAAAAGTAGGGACCCTTGTAAGCTGCTTTCCAGTGTACTTTTCCACCCTGATTTTAGCATTCTGCGTGAGCTTGCACTGCGTCCGCCCCCACTGTGCACATGAAAGGCCAACAGGCTTCATTGAGCAGCTTTATTACCATGCGTTAACCTTAACTTCCTCCTGGGGTAGAAGGGCAATTAAGTTTTAACACTCTCGGCCTTCCCAAGGCTTTGCTGAGCAAAAGTTGTTAATCACTCCAAAAATAACGATAAGTCGACATTCTCCAAAGGCTGCTGCGTCTAAATCGTTACCTGCAACTTCAAGAAGCTTTTAGCTCCAGTTTTAAACGTGATTCAGAGTTTCACTGTGAATGCTTGTGCTAAACTCACAGAAGATGTGCACGGGCATCGTAGAGTAGAACTCAACCCAAGCAGGATTAGTGAATTCGTGGTACTTGTTCTTGTCCAAGCTGCTGGAGCATTCAGAAATGTTCGTTACCCTTCATATTTCAGTAAAACTGATGATTATGCTCTGGAGTAAGGATTGTACATAAGACGACTGGGATTTTTTGTTTGGGGAGCTCTTTTTTTATCTCAATTGTTTTCCTTCTTCATTCTCCAGATGATGCATACTTACTACAGGGGCTTAATATTGAGGAACTTTATCCAGAGACGTCTAGTTTCATTACATATGATGGGTCAATGACAATTCCACCCTGCTATGAAACAGCAAGCTGGATAATAATGAACAAACCTGTCTACATAACAAGGATGCAGGTAAAAAAATTAATCCATCTGGTATAGGTACAAAAGAATTTTTTAAACATCTCAGTCATTCTATGAATCATTCCATGAATCATCTCAGAACCATTGTATGATTCTATATTTATAGCTTTACCTACAAAATTAGATTCAACCCTTTGCTGTAGGGATCTCTGCCTGCAATTTATACAGTTTGCAAAAGCATTGAAGAGGTCTTTTGCCAAAATAGAAATGTTAACTATTTAGAGCTCCCTAAGTATCTATACACACACACACACACACACTTTGAGGTGTGTACATTTGAATCAAATGGTTTCCAGCAGTCTCTTCCAAACTAAATTATTCTGTGATTCTGTGAATAGATATATGGGGGATTCTAAAGCAAGTACAGCAGTGTTGAACAAAAATAACCTTGTAACAGCGGCCATTCCTAGGTCAGAAAGAAACAGACAACTTGTGAGTGACACTTGTGGCCATTTAAGTACGTGTTGATAGCAGATTAATGTGACAGATCCAATACACGGGGCCTTCTTGGGAAAAAAAAAATCAGCTAGGGCTTTCTGGTATAGAATAAGATGACAGGATAGACATTGCAAATGTCTTCAGAAAAGTCAGACTGACAAATGGAAGCCCCTACTAGAAAGAAGCAGGATAAATTATGCAAAAGAAAACATAATTAATTTCATCGTCAAAATTGTCTTGTTGAGGAAACACCAGTGGAAGAGTAGATTACATTTCTGTATGACTCACAATCCAAGGCCTAACATTGGGAAACAGCAAATTTAAGACCAGTTGCAGTCTTCTGCAGAGTTTCCATCTGAGTTGCCTACAGAGCTGTGAGCTGAACTAAAACCTGTTCTCTCGCATACTGGAGATCCCAAAGGAATACTTGAACCACCATCTGCCTGTCCCAAGCATGCAGCAGAAGCAATCTGGCCTGAGAAATGAAACAAGGAATAATAAAACAACCCTAAATATTACTTTGGGATTTAAAATCATATTAACATTGTAAATAAGATGACTTTAAAAAGCCTGAGAGATGTTTTGTCTTTGTGATATTCCTTCTGTCCAATTTTGTCTAGATGCCGAGACAGCATTCAGTTTCTTTTCTAAATGGGTAATTTGGGAGAACGACACAGCTGAGCACAGGCAAACGTGCTGTACATTCTGAACTTTCCAAGCAGGGGACTTCAACATTTCCCTATTAAGCAGCATTTTTAGTTACAGTATTAATGTACAAAACAAGGAACAGAGTATTTCTAGAGTCTCTGCTAGTACCTATGGGTTATAATCTCATGATACTTGCTCACTGTCATGCTTTACTGGTTAGTTACCTCATCCATTATTAGTGCTGCAAATTGATTTCATGGAATACTTAATAATTATATTGTGTACTCAGACTGAAAAAAGTAATTCACAGTTCAAGTTCTTTCCAGAAGCTGTTAAAGATTTTCAGTACGTAAAACCCAGCTGCTGAATTTCTCCATTTAGGCATTAAATGCTGCAACCAAACCTGTTAAATCGCACACTAGCATGGAAAATATTTTCTTTTTGGTTTTTTAATCCAAAATATTCCTAGGGTTTGATTTACAAATCACAGCTTTTTCCCCCCCCCCCCCTCTCTCCAGTTTTCTATACAAACTTTGAAAGTTTTTCATTGACTTGAACCAATTAACGTGCTTCTAGCACAATCGCATGGGTGTCATAAGAACCGTTGCTGTCTGCTGGTACTTTGCATCCAGCCACCGCTGGGCGCACTGACAACCCTGGATAATTCAGTAATTCCCTCTCTGCTGACCCATAAACCCATCTCAAAAGGCGGCCAGAGTCTACCACAAGAGCACCAGACACAGCACAGACAGCATCACGACAGACCTGTCAACAGAGAGAGGATTTCACTTTTTAACATCATTAGTTTCATGACTCCAGCAGCATGACTGTCAGTTATCCTTTCCATCCTGACGGGCCGTACCTGGTTCTTGAGTACCGTCATCCAAAAATGTCTTCTCAACTGCAAGCTACACTAATAGCTACAAAACTTAGGAAATTAGCTCTTGTTACTCATCAAGTTCATTTTCTGCACACCAGCTGCTGCCATCCAGAGCTGCGGATTCCATTTGTTTCCTGATCAGCCAAGGACACCTCATACCATTTTCATTTACTCCTCACAAAACTAGTTACTTTCATTTAAAATGGGGCTCAGAAACAGAGGACCGCAGAAGGAATGATTTTACCTCAAGTTAACGCTTTCAACCCACCTCTGACTACAAATCACTGAAATTGTGTTTAACTCATTTATTAAGTAGACTATTTAGTTTAACTTTCACTTAAGTAGTTTATTGAATAGCGTTGTATGTTGTTTACTTACATGAAAGACCAGTACTAAAAATCCTTGTTTTGTATTTTGTATAGATGCATTCTTTACGACTGCTAAGCCAGAATCAGCCATCACAGATATTTCTGAGCATGAGCGACAATTTCAGACCAGTCCAGCCTCTCAACAATCGATGTATCCGAACTAATATCAACTTTAGTTTACAGGGAAAAGATTGTCCAAACAATAGAGCACAGAAACTACAGTATAGAGGTACGTTCTACCTCCACAATAACCCTTTCTATGCTTACACTGAGCCCTTTTCTTTGAGAAACCCAAGTGGATCACAAAGCATACAAACAAAAAAAAACAGATGAAACTCCAGATCTGGGGGACTAACTGTATGACTCAAACATTACATATTTGAAACAGATGAGGAAACTTGCCCAGAAACATGCAGGAGCAGCGTGACAAAAACCAGTCTGAGACCTCTAATATTTTTGTAAAAGCAGATAGGACAGGCCTTCAGTTTTCTAGCCTCATTTTAAAGACTTTTCACCTTACAAAGTGCATTTTGCTCTGTTTTACCCACCTTGGAAAGAAAAGGGGGGGTGAGCTAGTGTTGATGACAGCTGATCTCAAACAAGAGGATAGATTTCCCTTTAGAAGTGCACCACCACCGCACCCCCCCCAAACTGGGGAGCGTTGTATTACGCAACGGACGTTAAACAAGTGAACCAACCCAGTCATCTGCCGCAGCTGAGGGCTCACGACAGAGCTCTAGCGCATCTTACGCGTCTTTTAGTCTGTGCACACGCAGTTGTACGCTTATTGCAGGTAATGTAAGTGCCTTCTTACCAATCTCGTTATGGCGATGGAGTGCTTCTGAAGGGTGGAAGAGAAAGCACGTTTCAGGCTAGTGACTGAGTTGCGATACTTCAAGGAAACGGTCATTCAGACTTGATTCTTTCCCAGAAAGAGGAGGAAACTGAACCTCCTGGCTTTTCCAAGACGTTTTGTTTAAGTGCCTAATACAATGTTAAATCCAGGCAGTTTCGTATTTGGAGTTTATTAAAGCATAATCATTTTTGTTTTCTCTTTCCTTTCAGTAAACGAATGGCTCCTCAAGTAAGTAAGACAGAGCAGGCAGAACCCATAACCTCAGTGGAATGCTACTACTGTGACTTGACATAATCTAGAATGCAGCCAACCTCACTCTCTTTGGGTTCGCGACAGCATGTGCAAATGTGCTGTAGGAAGAAAGCTGCCATGTTGGAAACTCAACTAAAAATTCATTCGTATGATCGGTGGTAATTAAAAAAGTAAAAAGACAATATTACAGTAAATGTGATTACAATTTTGATACAGTTTTCCTGAACTAATTTAGCTTCACAAAGAAAGACTTTTCAGCCTTTGTACATACGAAATTCTTCCTCTTTTCCCCCCTCCTTCAAATTAAAAAAAAAAAAGAGAAAGAAAAAAGGTGGCTCAGTACAGCATCAAAGTGGAGTTGTGTTCTGTGTGCCAAGTAATCCTTGGAAAGCTCTCATTATTTCACTATCATTAATGGATACTGACAAGACAGAACAAGATGACTGTAGAGGAAACTTATTTCTAGGTTATGATCTTTCTGTTCATTTAATTAAAAAAGGGACAGACTTCGAGAGATAAGTATTGTAAATATATCACTGCAGAATATAAAGGAAATTGAAATATTTCCCTCTTTGTCACATATCTGTAGTAGACTTTGCCAAAATCAGAATTGATTCATTTTCTGTTTCTTGTTTTACAACAGGTCATATGTTGTGTTGGTTACTATTAACAGCTCAATAAATGTGTTTAACAAATTAATTTAGTAAACTTGCTTTGATTTATTTTTTCCTTTTTGAAATAAGTCTCTACTACTTGTGGCTGCATTGTTTGTGGGTTTTTTATTTTCCCTGGGTTTTTTTTACTTCATTTATTTGTTTGCAGCCAGTTTAAGTGAGTTAATGGCAATTGGGAATGCACTTAAAGCTAGTATAACTAACTCCACTTTATGGTCCGTCATTAACAGGAGCTGGGCTCAGAAGCAGAAAGCAGTGGAAGCATCTCAGTATAACATTGCCATTTTCCCTGCTGAATCCATTATTGGGACAAACAAATTCAATACTGTAAATTGGTGGTGGAAAGGAGTGTCTTTTCTTTACAGCTAAAGCAGGAGTTGACAAAGTAAAAGCGAATGCCTTTTTTCTTGTTTATAATGGTCATTCACTGTGTTTGGTTACTGTCAAGAGCTCAATAAATGTGTTTAACAAGTTCACGTAGCACCTGTTTGACCTTCTTGCACATTAAGGGATTTTTTTTTTTTCATTTTTATTTGGAGAGGGGGCAGGCCTCATGCTATTCCATTCCTAATGCTCACTTTATAACCCATAACATGTTGAAGTTCACAGAAAAATAAGATGAAGGTAGAAAGTACCATGCCTGACCAATGAATAGTGGAAGTTGTCCTGCCCATGGCAGGGGGGTGGAACTAGATGATCTTTAAGGTGCCTTCCAACCCAAACCGTTCTGTGATTCTATGAATTGTTCACACAAGAAATGCAAGGGAACCGAACCGCTGTAAAGAAGCTATAGATGCTGCAGGCCCACTAACTTTAGCATGACAAACACATTATTTCATCTTTGGCTGAAAGAGAACAGTGCAGGTCGCATCAGACAAGAACTGATGAGTCCACGTTGCGGACAGCATTTTGGAAAGATCCAGCTTGTGTTACTTCGTTAGCGACACAAAAGGAAAGTTATCAGGAAGGTGAAAACACGCATGGGCTGGCGTTCAGCGGACACCTAAAGTAGGTACATGGGTGTAGATGGAAACCTGCAAGGGAACCCAAAGCTGTCAACAGTTCTGTTGCTCAGTGAAAGGTGCAGAGAAACCACCAGTGATGGAGCCAAGGCTGGCCTAGGTGGGCTGTGACACAGCAATACTGTATGTTCATCAGGGTCCTGGGCGGACAACCCTGGCCCAGGATCCTATGTGCACATGTATAGTACTTGATCCTTGAGTTACTTCACTTGGAGCATTTCAAATGACTTCCATATACCAGCTTCACCCTGTGCAGTGATCTGAAAAACCACCACACAACTGCAGAAATGTCACACAACCAATACACTGCAGATTAATGCTGTCAAATTCCGCAGCTGAAGTAAAGCAAAGTTATCACCTTAGATTTACCTAGCTAATAAAAAATGAAAACCACCACAAGTCACAGACATTTGTTATTTTTGAATTGCCATATGATCTATAACTTCAAAATTTGGGGTGTTAAGATTGTTTCCACTGCTTGTTCGGGTGCTTTGGGTTTTTTGAAGCTTCTCCTGGGTTTGTTAAGGTTGTAAAGTTACTGAAAGCACAAAGTCCGCAATGCTTCAATCTGTTTTTTTGGACAGATATCTGGAAGTTGTTGATCCAAGTTTGTCAGTGACAGAAGGTAGGGAAGATAAACCAGGCCTCCATTATAGAACTTTTTATAAGTAATAAAACCTATTTTCTATTTTACTGAAAGCTGATTGAAGGGATTTAAGAGGAGGGAGAGATATGACAGAAGGGGCTAGTCCTAGGAAGGAGGCATACTGTGCTTTGGATTAGGTGAGGCTGCAATACAGAAGCCCTGCAAATAGAGAAATGGAGCAATTGTACTGGGACACCACAAATGTATTTGTCAACGTTCCCAACTCCATTTTGTGAACTAATGAACTCCATCTTACTGTGTTTTGTTCAGGTTTTTGTTTTAATAATAGATTGCAGTAGAAATAGACCAAACCTAAAGCTCAGAGTTAAATACCTTGCACATCTGTCATGTTTCAGTAGCGCTCAAATCTAGACATCTACCTCCAGTTTTTCAGGACAAGCACATTTGGATGCTCTGAGCATCCAAAGCAAGACACACTTTCTCGCAAAGCCTTTAAGCAGAAAGATAAAGCTTCAGTATCAAACAGCTGGCACAGACAATCTTCCAGTGTTCAGAGTCAGTGGCAACACGTGCACATGGCAGCCCCACCAACTTGAATGCTTTCTGTCCATGATGCTCACCCGAAGCATGGCTGCACACGGAGCTCAGGACTCAGTGCTTTGCAGCACGAGCTGACTTTGTGGCCTCAACACCATCCCTACCTGAGCCATTCAGATAACGAGTGAGATTCTGTGCTCGTGACAGGGCTCAGCACAAGCATGAGCTACCTGGCAGGGCATATAAACCTGGCAGCGGTCCTTGATGAACAATGGACACCACAGGCAGGACCACGTTGCCATCCCATAATGGTAAAAGACATTAAGAACCTAATACTAGGACAAAATGGTCGGATTTGATCTTCTGCTATCGCAGTTGAGAGTATAATATCAAACCAGGTACCAAACTTAGTAAGCTCATTTGATGATAAAAAGCATGAGAAAATTAAAGTTTACAGTACTGGAAAATTTCAAGTAGTATTCAAGAAAAGTATAATAGCCAAATTTTATAAGCTCGTTTTTTCCCTTTAATCAAACAGAAAAAAAATACTTCTATAACTTCTATACAGAAAATAAGAACTAATTCAGATTTGTGGGATAGAGGCAGAAAGCAAAGACCTTCAGCATGATTGTACCTGTAGATACCATGCGTTTCTGTCCTTCCCCTATTCTATTGCAGCCTTGAAAGCTGAACCAGCAAGGAAACATCTCAAGGATCTGTCTGGAAGCTTGGATATATTATAAAATAAACTCACATGAATCAAAAAAACATTCTCTCACACCATTTAAAAACTCTCACTTTTCTATAAATTATATACTCTGAACAAAGAGGGGGCAAGGGCAAGTGTGCTGAAAAACTGAGACCTGAGTTCAAGGCACTGGCAGCCTCCAGCAGGGCTGGGAACCACTATACTTGAACGTGTGCTGGGCTGTACTCCCCTGTACTGATCCAGAACCTGAGACAAGCAACTCAAAAAGTCGGCCAGTAAAGATCAGAAGAACTTAAATACCCGAATCCACGTTTTTATGAATAGCAACTGCTTGTTCTGAGCATCCATACGCTGCTCCACATCTTGGCCTCAAGAAGTGTCAACAGTCCCTGCTGTTCATAAGACATCAGTCTGTCAGGCAGCCCAGACTCTGGGGGCCTGGGAAATGGGCTACCAGCAGCCAGCATCATTTTAAGTACTTTGCATCCAGTAGTGTTTCAATCCATAGGACCTTCCAAAACGTTTGTTGCAAAGCAAAGAAGAAACCCTTAAGATATTACTTCAGAATCCTTCCTGCTTCTGATAGACCCTGCCTTTACTCTCCCCGTTTTGGTTTTCTGGGGGTTTCATGCCTTGTTACTTCCAACACTAACCTTCCCTTTAAAAATTATAAGCAGCTCTGAGCATTGCAATAAAGGCTTACCCCACAGAATTCACAATACTGCCATAAAAATACAACAGTTGGCAGGTCTCTTAATACTAACCGTTGCTGGAATCAACATATTTCAGCTGCCAGTAAAAAACACATAAAATAATAATATAAAAGAGCTGCTACATCTATTAATTGGTGAAGACAAGCTGGAAAGTAGGGTATGATTGCACCCAAGAGGCCAAGACCAGAACGCAAATAAACCCCTTCCAACATTTAGGGTATTCCTCATGATCTTTAATATTAAGGAAAAGAGATATTTAATTTTTTTTTTTTAAGTGCTCAGGGCTGACAAAACTGAAATGCCATCATAATCTGAAAACAAAACTGAAACTTGCCTTAGCTGCTGCTTTTGGGAGCTGAACCTTCCCCAAAAGTCAAGAACTGAAAAGAAAACTGTACCTGATCTGTGTATTTACTGCAAATACCAGAAATGCAAGAAAAAGACAGATGTTTTGCATGTTCTGCTGTACATCTCAAAGCTTTAGTACTGGACACTACCCAAAAGAATCCTAGATGTTTGGTTCCTATACTCAAACCAGTATAAATTTTTCAGGGACATCAGCTATAACTGCTCCATGGTTTGATTTTTTATTAGATTTTATTCCCTAGATACAGTGGCTGACAAAGCATAGATAGTTTGCTGTAAGAAATGCTGATTTACTAGCAAATGGCTTACTGCAGTTCTCAACAGCATACCATAAAATTATTCAAGGAGCCTGTTTGCACAGTAAAGAACAAGATCCATTTATAATGTGAAACGTAACGCAGGCAAACATTTTCTGTTTCCTGTGGTGTCAGGCTTCTATTCTAATAACTAAAGATGTGTCAAACACATACTCAGAACAGAAAATGAAAAACAGGATAATAAATCTTCTCAGGATGGGAAAATAACCCTTAGTATTTAAATAGAGGGGAAAAAAAACCTTAGAAGTAGTATTAGACAAGTAGAAAGAAAAAAATTGACACAGTTTATGAATTCAGGC